GGGTATGATCTTTGGAATACCACACCTGGTGAGGGACACTGGAACAGAAAGTAAAGCACCTTTATGGTAGTTACCAGCATAGTACCGTTGTAAGGATACTGCACATTGCTTTAAATATAAGGCAGTGTACAAGAATCCAGATCTCTGTTTTAAGTATCTGACTTGCTTAACAAAGGAACATACCGCAAGGGCAACTCTTTGGACATGGACGCAGTAACGACTAGAGGAACTCAAAAGAGAAGTCCCATTAATCGTCGAGAATGTGCAAACATGCCCCGCTGAGAAAACCTAGGAGATCTTTTGATCGCACAATTTTTTTCATAAGGTCATAATAATATGTTTTGTGTGTTTCGATGATCCCACTAAGGATTTCTACTATCCCTGTCGGACCAAATGAATTGGTCTCGGGGGGAGGGGGCGCCTGGGTTCCAACCAGGGGTTCTATTCCTTTAAAGATTATCTTTTACATTAGCCGAAGCTTCTAGGATGGATAACCAGTATTGGGATAGAACTAGAGATTATAACAAGATATTAGTTCTTAACCAATAGTGAAGTAGCCTTTGACAGTGACAACACAATTGACCTTCGAACATAACCCTTGTTAGTGCTCCGTTCGATATCCTTAGAATTAACCAAACAACAAAATTACCCTTATTATTCAAATGAAAAAAATATGTGTGCTCAAAAAAACCTAATTGGAAAGTTGGAAGACTTTCCAACAGGGACTGATAATCCCAGATGATGCCAAAAAAAAGGATTTCACTTTCAAATAAAATAGAACAACCTTTAACTGGCCTCACATCTTCCCATCCTCAACTTAGTTGTCTCAATTACATCAATCCTGAACTACGTCCAGCCAAGTATTCTTTCCCTTACCCTTTCGGTCGAGCACAACCTCCTGAGCGCTATGTTTATGCAATTTCATACCACTTCGTCCCTTTCACTTTTCAACCTGATCTCTACATTCATAGCTTGAAAAGGCAAAAGAGGGTCATTTCTCTTAATTGCTATTCTTAAGCTTCCTTTCTTTTGGAGTAGGATCTCTTTCCTTGTAATGGCTCTTCCTTTCTTGCTTTCCTTCTATCTTTCTTTCTATTACAAAGTGTTTCAGATCACTTCTTACTTACTTGACTTGCCCCCATTTTTTTAAGCAAGGGGGAAAGTTGTGCAACTAAGTGAAATGGAATCTATTAGAATAAAAAATAGTGCAGCTCAATCAATATAAGAATAAAACCAGGAGGTTGGCAGGAAAGGTGACTTTCATTTCCTTTTCAACTTCTTCATTTAGAACTTACTGTAAAGTGGAAGGGTAGGCCTTTGGCACCAGAAAGGTGAGGATTGAAATTAGGAGAGTGAACAGAGGAAGGGACTCTCTTTTTAAGTCCTACGTACTTCTCTTCTCTCAATCGCTCTTTGGTATTCGAAAGTGGAAAGCGAACTGCTAGCTGTGGCAGAAAAGAGAGGTTCTGTCTTTATTCATCCAAGTAAGAAAAAGATGGGAAGCTCACAGACCAGAAGGAATTGAATTATTAAAACTCTCGTCCCCCCTCTCCTTACCTTTATAGGTGAAATCTCTTACTTATGAGATCAGGAGATTACTTAGTATTGATATCGAATTGGAAGAAAGTTTCGAAAGTACTCCGCCCTCCCTATCTTCCCATGTCTCAACCAACTTTTTTCTTTTCTCCAAATCTCTCTTTTGGATTTTAAAACTTTGATTCGTGATAGCTACTCATACGTGCCAAAGAGGCTTCCTTTTCGCCTTGACCCAGCTAAAGGTAAAGATAGGTATTAGGCAGCGAAGAAGAGATGGAGGAGATTCCTCCCCCATTGACGGCTCACAAATATGAGTCCCATGTTTAGGAGAAGAACTGAGATAGGCTGTTTTAGCTCTGTTTCTATCTGAGAAAGGAGTGTACCGGATCCGCCTCTTGGCATTATTGGGTTCGCTTGCAAACAACACTTCTCCTCTCGCCCACTGAAAGGAAAGGGTAATGTTTATACACCTCTTACCACATTCACTACAGGGCGCATACCCTCACTATCAGTAAGTTCTCCCATGTCTGTTAGACTTTCTTTCAAAAACCTTGACTAATAGAATATTGAAATTAGAATAGGCTGAGAAAAGGGCTAAGAGAGAAGCTTAGGATAATACTTAAGTAAGGGGCGTAGCAGCTCTTTTTTCAAGCTCAAAATAGGCCGTCTATATATATCCTTCCTTATCCCTCCCGGGAATCACATCACTTTTGAAATAGCACCCCAAGAGAACCTTTTAAATAACTATTAGTACCCTTAAGAGATTACTTTCTTAGTAGTTTCTAAAGGCTCTTTTTTTCTATATCAGGAATAGAGGTCAAAAGTGATCTTCAACTTGACTTTATCTTCAACAATAAGTTCTAATTGTTTAGATAAATAAAAGAAAATGAAAAGAAAGAAATAAAGCAACAGAGCCATCATAGTCCTTTTTAACTCCTCCGCAAGGAAGGAACGAGTCGCTTCCCCCTTTCCTTTACCACCAGCAGGAGCACAGTATTCGCCGGTCTCATGGTTATCAACAAGATAAGCTGAATAAATCAGCTACGAGCTCTTCCTTACCCGAACCCCAAGCAAGCAGGGTGACAAGACATTGATGCAGGGTTCGACACGGTCTTTGAGTACAATCATGGGAGGACCAATTTGCCGACACACTAAGTCGAAGGGCCGAGTTGGCATCCAAAAAGTTTGAATTAGAATAGATAACATCCATGAAGGGCCTTACCCGAATGCATAAGATAGAAAAAGGACCCCGTAGCCCAAACCCAGCTGAAAAATGTGAGCAACTTCAGTTAGAAGTTCTGATCAAGTGGAATGGTTATTGGTACTCTCTTTCATATCCTCCTCCTGTTGGTGACTGACCTCTTCCTTTCTATTTAGAAAGTGGAACAGAACTAGCAGTAGATAGGCATTCAGTTAGCTTGAAAATGGACTCGTAGTTAGAAATCGCTTCCTCAAAAATTATCTTCAGAATGTCTTATCACTTTCTTAAACACTTTAAAACAATCTAGAAGGCTTCTCTTAAAGCAGAAAAATAGGAGTTATAGTAGTTTCAGCTATTCAATTCGAATGAGTGCCCTCACTCCCTTTCCTTACTACGATATGCTCCAAAAAATGAAAATCAAACGGCAACATACGAAAGAGTGATGACACTAATTATAAGTGACCTCCTACATAACATTACAAGCCTTACGTGGACAATTTGGAAGTCTTTTCAAAAGAAAGAACCGACCACATTAATAATTATGCAAGGTATTCTAAAGGTAAGAAAACATCAATTTAAGATTAACCCAAAAAATGTGCATCCGGGATCGGACAGAGGCCTCAAATCAGTAGGGAAATAGCATAGCTATTATTGACCTGACACCTATTCCATTACTTAAGCCTACTCTTTCTTCAAGATACGAAACGAGCAGCCAAAAATGATTGCCCCTATTTTATTTTAAATGGACTCATCTACATGGCTAAGAATCTTACCTTTACTTAGAGAGGGGTAGCGGTACCATGCTCTTCCGTGCTTGTAGGTTGAATTACTTATGCATCCCGACTAAGGTCTCAGAAACGTTCACTTTCCTTATACATCTAATGGCTTAACTAATTTGAATAGGTTATACAGAAGGGTAGGTTGGTTATATACTCTTATGCGCCTTCCTTATTTAAACCTTTTGGTATGTATTTCCCACTAACTATAGATCAGATCCACCAGACAAGAAAATTAATTCTATATTGCTGCTGAGTCGCTGTACTTATCCACCAAGGGATTCGTGGAATTTCTATGGATTGCGTTGGGGAAAATCTACCAAAGCTAGGCAGATAGATAGAATTCTTTCCCGCTGCTAAAAGAGATAAAGAAAGAAAATCAAATGATTATTTTTTAATCGGCGCCCTCTTTTGGGTATGCAAGTACTAAGAGCCCTCTCACTACCAACCAGCGTATATCATCTGGTTGGAACCTGCCGGTATAAACAACAAGGAATAAAACAACCAGAAATAGCAACTAATTATGGCTCTTGGCCCAGACAACGTCCTAGGCGTAGGGGATATCGGAGCAACAGGGAATGTATAGACGATGTTTTTCTTCCTAGGTTGCAGTAAGTAGATCGAGAGGTCATACAGCCCCTTTTCCCTGAATATGGGGAATATGTTCTCAGAAAATCTTGCTCATACCTGACCTAGCGGGCGAGAGATCCCAATTCGCGACAGAGATCAAGAAAGAAAGCGAGCCTACTTTTCTTTGCTTCTTCTCCACCAAGCATAGAAGGTTAAGGATAACTGTAGGTCGGTGTCCACCTAAGAAAACTCCAATTCAATCCGCCCCCCATCTGTGATGCATCTTCCTCACCCCGATCACAAGGAGAGGTTCACGATGATGGGGGTACTTTCTTTTTCCATCAAGGAAAAAATGAAATGCATAGGGGACCATTCTTTTGTTGCAGCATGCTCCTCTGATTTACAGATTTGCGGGGGCCTCACATCCTAGTTAGTTGATTGATAATGCCAAAGGCTTGCAAAACTAAGTAGGGTCTTTTCCTTTTTGTTTGAATAACCCGTTCTCATTATCTTTAATAAGTAAAGTAGGCAAACTTATAGGTCCTTAGTAGCGTTGACAAAGAAGAAGGAGTCAGTTAAAAGAAAGCGTATATTTCCATTTTTTATAGTTTCTATTATACAATAATAGAAATAGAAAGAAATTTCTCATTCTTATAAATAGGCCAGCTTGACAAGCAACCCTTCCTTTTGATCTGAGGTTCAAAGAGAAAGGTTTCTTTTTTATGACTTCCACTTATCGATCCCATCTCAGAAAGTGACTGACCAGGGTAGGGCCCTATTGATAAATGAAAGAAACGGTTATTGAGCCCTAGCCCTGTAATCCCACACCTTTGTAGAGTAGATCATTCAACACCAGCGGCACAAACCCATTTTGAACCTATTGGTCCTTGTATCACAGGCGACCGAATGGCCGCCCCCTAATTACTAGACCAACCTGCTATAATATTTCCATAAAAATCTACCGAAGATATGGCAAACAAATAAAGTAGTCCTATGCTCGGATTTGACAATACCATACCATAACCAAAAGGTACAATGGACCGAACGACCAGACTTAACATAAATGTAGCCACTGGAGTCATTATAAAAAGGGAGAAATTAGCACTACTTGGTGAAATAGGTTCTTTTAGAATGAATTTCAAACCATATTCTAGAGGTTGTAACAATCCAAATGATCCCACTAAATCAGAACCCTTTCGACGTTGCACAAAATCCATTACTTTACTTTCAGTTAGCACAAAAAAGTCTACTCCTAGTAGAAGTGGTAGAATTATTCCAAGTATTTCAGCTGGAATAGCTATGTACAGTTTTTTCTATTGATTCATGATCTGGCCTGGTGAACCCAATCATGATATTGAATGATGGGACCTTTTCTTGAGAAAAAAAAATCTTACAACTATGAAAACTACAACACAAGCACTCTTTTTCCATTCATTCTATCTAAGAAAAAAAAATTAGCGTAGACCATGATCCCCCATCTTTTCATTTCTTTATATATGAAACCAAATGGGCAAGTATTTATTATTGATTGGGGCCCTGAACTCAATGAGAGTGGGGATTCGCTCCTCTTTGGGAAACTCATCCATGTTTGCAAGATACCTGACAGCGTCTACGAATTTCTCGAGCGTGATCTCGCCCAGCGCTGCTGCCTGACGGAGAACAACTTCTTTTGCCCTCCCATAGATTTCTTGCAAGAGACTGCCACACTAGGCAGCCTTCTCTTAAGTCTCCCGATGCAATTGGGCTATTTTTGCAGGAGAAAGGCCTATTGGAATCTCGTTGAGCTCTGGAAGCGCATGTGAAGCATCCGCGCAAAAGGCTATTGAAGGGGAGGCGAATGCTGGAAAAGGTAAAGCAAACCAGAAAGTATTTTTATTCAAAATCATACTTGTGTTTTTAGAAAAAGAAAATCATAAGGAAGCATTATGATTATGAAAAGAAAAATCTTACTAAAGAGAGAAGTCTATTATACAATAAAGTACATATACTATATACACTATATACGATATTCTTAGAAAAAACCTCAGGATTAAATAAAAGAAAGATATATACTAAAAACAAAATATGATGATATTCAACACTTTATGGGTGTTGACCTAAGTAGGCCTAGGACAAGACAAGACACCTTCCCACCTTCCTTCACTCTACAATATCCCGATGACCCCTCTCTTCACAAGTAGGCTTGGCGCTTAGTCAATTTGAAAGGCTGGAAGGATGCAAGAAGACTGAGGAGGCACTGGAGTGAAGTTATTTCGGGGCTGGGATAACGAACAGGAATCTAGATATAAAAGAAGGCTATGGTGGAGATAGTATTGGTTAAGCAATTAATCTACCTTATTGTGAGGTATTATTATTATAATTTATATTTATTCTTCTAGGTAATAATTGCCTTATATCTGTCTTATTTCTTTCTTGTAGTACTGTCGGTCTAACGAGAGGAATGGAAGTAGTCGTCTGTTTTTTTCTCTAGATCTGCTTATGTCTATACATCGCTTGATTCTCATGCTAGTGGACTTCATGCTCCTTTTTTGGCCTTATTAGATTGATTTCATAAGTGAGAATTTTAAATTGAATATATAGTGAGAAAAGTGCCTTTCTTGATTTAAGTAGTAAGCTCAGATTAATGATTGAGAAGAAATCTTTCAAGCGCGGCTTTAGCTTAATCTATTATAGGGTAGGATCCTTGGAGAGATTTCCTTAAGGCGATGAAGGACCACATATTTCGAATCTCGGCTCCCCTCAAGAAAAAAGCTGGATACTTAGCTAAAAGGGTGAATATGGCCGAGCGCCTTCAAAGGTTGCTCCAGTCGCCTGAAGCCTTGTTGATTGATTGTGGGGGATTTAGGTATGTCACGCCAACCATCTTCTAGTTCCTGGATAATCGTTCCTTGATAATGCTTACCCCAGGGGCTAACCCTATCTTTGCACATACTTCCTTGTTTGTTTGGGAGTTGAATCAGAAGCATCGAATGAAAGGTTCTTTCCAAGACCATCTGCTATTGAAGCAGGTGTTGTTACCGGGCGAGATTCTATCTTTTCCTTGTAGTCCACAGGATTTTACTCTGGGGAAGCTCATTCCTTGGATGATCATAACTTATACAAAGGATAGCTCTGTAAGAAGGACCAAAGCGCATTGAAAGAACCTACCGATTCTTATCAGTCAAAACAACCAAAACGAGTTAGCCTTAATTTTCCCAATTGGCAAAGTCATAAGTTGTGGTGAATCTGTGTCGCTACTATAAAGTGCTTTCCATAGTTCAATTGAGAAAAGAGAGAAGAGAAGGACAATTTCCTTTACTTTATTATTAAACTTAAAGAAAGAATCCTTTGACTTTTAATGCCGAAACCATGAAAGAAAGGAAGGGCCTCTTTCCATCCATAGAATCTTTTCTTTAAGCTAGCACTTTCAGCTATATTTCTTAACCTGCTTCTATCAAAGCAGCTTGTAAACTCCGACCATTGTCTCAGTGATGTATCTCATAGGAATGGGATAGAAACGATTAAGAGTTCTTTCTTAAAAAAAGGGACTTACTAACTGAGACTGGAATCTATCCTGACTTTAAAGTAGCGCCTGATTGAGGGATGAACCCCAAATCTGTACTTTTTGGTACTATGCCTACTCCTATTTCATCGTTCAAATGGGTTGAACTCTTTCTAAGGAAAAGGTCCAAGTGTGTGCCATGAGTGCTCTGCCTTCAAAAAGGCAGGATGGTGTTATAGACTATTTTTGGAATAGAATAAGCTTTGTGTCCTAACCAAATGTCATGGGGCGATAAGAGGTGCTTTATCTAAACTAGGCAGGAGAACTTGGTTGACTTTCCTACTTTATAGCATCTCGGAATGGTAGGTACCCACAATCTCCATAACGAAGGAATGAATCTATTATGTGGGAAAGAGACCTCGTAAGGCCTCTCTCATCCCTTGCTTATGTTGAATCAAGATTTTATTGGTCTTCTTTGACCCGCGGGTGCGAATCGGTAGATGTGAAACTAGCTCTGGCTTGATGACGGATTTACTTTTCGCCTTTTCCTGGGGCATAGAAGGAGTTGATCCTGGTCTAGATAAATGATTTAAGATTTCATACTCTCTCACTTCGTTCCAGCTGAATTACATCCACCGTCTCACTTCGTTCGAGCTTCCTTTTCAGCCCTCTCACGGCCGAAGGCTACACAACACGTTGGAGAGCTTTTAGATCCCGCCCTACCTTAAAACGCCCATTCCCCTAGATGTCTAAAGTGATTATCATTCTCACAGCATCCTTCTTAAGCCAAAACAAAGTCGGGCAAGAATCTCATTGTAGTACGAAGGAGAAGCAGAATCGTATCTGGGAGTGGTTCTTCGGATCAATCACAGATTCTCGACTCCATCTTTTGGATAGCACTCCAGTTGACCTCTCTTGTTACCATCCCACCGTGAGAAGGTACAAAGCAAAACCAACCCAGGAAACAACTATAACTATGCCTCTATTAGTAAAGCATGTACTTCTTGCAAGGCTTGCTGAGCTGCTTCATGTGACATACATTGCAAAAGTAGTTTGTTGAATGTTCGCCAAACGAGGGCATCATAATAGTATACAATTTTTGAACCCTGATGGGTTTTATAATCGATTATTTGATAGCCCTTTTCCTGAATATACACATATTAGCTTCGATAAAACCTAGTGTAAAGGGTTCTTGAGCGCTTCTACTTCTAAGCAATTATAAGAGCGCGGAATCAGACCTCCCTCAAATAGATAGGTCTGGGATTGATTGTGGAACCGAGCATAGAGAATCGAGAGCGGGTGAAGACAAGCATCTTCCATTTTAAGGGTATGCAGCTTCTATTTTAGGGGTACACAGTTCACATGCTGAGCAAAAAGGTATATATCACACTCATTCATAAGCGCAAGGTGCGGCATCCGCCTGAATGGGGAGACGATTTCCCTAAAACAAAGATATGTGTCAGGAAACAATGTGAAGTCACCCCTATTTCTTTGTCCCGGGAGCTATTGACTAATGACCTAAAAAAATGTGTGACATTTGGGAAGCATGAGCAACCCTTAGCGCACGAGATAGCAATGACAGGTGATTGACCGATTGGGTCGAGTGATCTCACGGGTTTAGGGGTGCTTCTCCTGCTGCGACTACCCCCCTTTTCTATTTGAAAGGTAAAGGACCACAAGAGAGAGGCTAGTGCATTCATGAATGACTGTGGTAAAACCATCAATCTTTTCGTTAAATATCGGGGACAGGGAACCAGCCCAGCTAACTCGATTTCCCGAAGAAAAGAGGGGGCACTCTTCCAATATTGATCTCCGAGCCCTACCTCTCTTTTTTCAAACGTATATAGAAATGGTAGGCACTAGGAGTGAGTGAACTACCTGGGGAGAAAGGGGCAACCTCTCTATAGAAGGAAAGGGAAGGGTTATCCGCCAATAATGATTGTATAGTCTCTCGGGGTTGGAGGTCTAATAGTAGTCACATCAAGTCCTCCCCCTCTTACTCAGAATAGCAAGAGAGAGGAATACTACTGAATATCTATGAAAGAAGGCTTTTAAGAATGAAAAAAATATTATCTTCAGGATAGAGAGCCCCCCCCCTCCCGCATGACTTTTAAGATAGGAGTGAGTGAGCACTTTTTCTACTATGAATGAATGACCTCTCTATTTATTTTCAAGCTTGCTCTTCAAACCGGCCTATAACTCTCCTCTATGAAAAGGTTTTTCCGTAATCACTCTCAATAAGACATCCATTCCCCTTTCAAATGAAAAGAGAACTATACTTTTATCTTCATGATTGAAATCCTCCATTCAATCGTAGTGCGGTGCTCTCAAAAAGCTCAATCCTCTAAGGCCAAAACAAATAGATCAAGAATTGAACCTGGGATCCGCCTGTTCCGATTCTGTCCTACCAAATATTTGCACCCCGGGATATGTATGTTGGGAGAACCACATGATCCTTTCGTGTGGAAAGGAAGGTGCGGAGCGAACAGGAACACAAATACTAAAAAACGGTTCATGGGGACCCCAAAAAAGGAATAGAGAGCGTGGAACGGGATTTCTAAGCATAAAAAATCCCTACCTATACATTCCATGGCAACAGACAGAAGTAACTTTTCTCGTTGTTCTTAACCCCGGGCACATTCCGTTCCCAATAACCTCCATGAAAAAACTACCATGATTCCCGAACAAACTGAGGGAAAGTCGAGGCATGAAAAACCTTATCTATGATATGCTTATTTCCAAGTATGTATCATCCGCTGCGTTATCTGCTATCTCTGCGGCCGCCAAAAGTCTACCCTATCTCGGATATTCAGTAGGTTGACCGGGGAAGAGATCCGGATGAACCTTCCTACAAGAAGAATACAAGTTTACCACAAGGCCATCTCTGTGGGAGGATGCTACCCATAAGGACATCTCGGGCATGGGAAAGAAAGGCGGTAGACAACCGACTTAACTAAAGAGCCTGAACGGCATTGAGGATGAGTCCACCGGTTGACAAATGGCTTCTATATACAGGTGCTTTCACGATTGATTGATCACACACAATTAGGTTAGGCAGGATTGGGGAGGTTCTCTAGTTTGCTATTGATACGATGCGGGCTAATTTGATGATCGTAACGAACTTGACTCTGCCCCAAAAAGGGCGGGAAGACCTTTGACTTGGGCTGGGGAGCAATCGGGGTTGCTTCTATGGTTCTCAGTCGTCTTTCGCCGAGATGCCATTTAAAAAGATTTTTTCCTACATCAGAACAAGATCCACTATACTAGATTTAGCCAATCAGGTGTGGATGGTGATTCCCCAATAGATTCTATAAATTCGGATTTGGATGCCCTTGCACATAAATATATGGATAGGGATG